ATCTCATTTTTAATTTGTATATATGCATTTTGTGTGTGTGTGTGTGTGTGTGCAAGTGTGTACAAGTGCATGTGCACGAGTGTACATGGCAGAATTCAGTGTCAGATAGATTCCTCAATTTCTTTCTATCTTTTTTGTTGAGACAAGATCTCTCACTAAACCTGGAGCTTTCCAGTTTGGCTAGAATAACTGGCCAGCAAGCCCCAGCTCATTCCTTCCTCCCCAGTGCTAGGATTACAGCTGGACATGAAAGTGTGGGGATTGAAGTCAAGTCCTCATCCCTGCATGACACTTTCCTGACTGAGCCATCTCCTCAGCTTCAAGGATTTAAAATATATGTACAGTCCAGCAAGCGTTCATATACCTAAAAGGTCTTCACCATTGTAAAGATGCCAGAGCTGGTTTGATGAGAAGTCTCAGATCCTCCATGCTCCCCACTGAATAGGGCTGATGGGAATAGACAGTGTGGTAAGAACTAGTCCTGAACCTCCACTCATGACTGGTCTCCCTGTTCTTGCTATTTTGTTCTGTCTTGCTCTTCCAGAGATTTCATTCACACCAATGAACACGTGGATCCTGTCCACTGTGGTGATGTAATAAAGCTTGCCTCAGGATCAGCCACTAGATTAGACATGGAGGTCAGGCAGTGGTGGCACACACCTTTAATCCCAGCACTCAGGAGGTAGAGATCTGTCTGGATCTCTGTGAGTTCAAGGCTACCCTGGACTATATGAGATTGATTCAGTCTAGAAGAGAAATAGAGCCAGGCAGTGGTGGCACACACCTTTAATCCCAGCTCTTGAGATCTCATGCCTTTGCTTGGGAAGCACACATGCCTTTAATCCCAGGAAGTAATATGGGAAGGAGAAGAAAGGTATATAAGGCATGGGGAGACAGGAACTAGAGGCTCTTTTTGGCTGAGCTTTTGGGTGAGGACTCAGAGACTTTCAGTTTGAGGATTCATGGAAACAGGATTGGTGAAGAGTTGGTGAGGTGAGTTTGGCTGTGGCTTGCTCTGCTTCTCTGATCTTTCAGCTTTTACCCAAATATCTGGCTCAGGATTTTTTATTTAAAAGACCATTTAGAATTCATGTTACACAGTTCACCAGTACTCACATGTATCCACAGTGGGCTGTGTCATTTCTGGGTTCAGTACATACAACCCAAAGGCTGTACTACCCATATAAGGGTACCCCAGTTAGGGAGGAACCCACTCAGCCTGCAAGTGCCCCACTGAGCAGAGATTCAAGAACTTCAGAGGCCCAGAATATTGCCTAGAAATGGACACATCTTCTGTAGCTGCCTTGGTCCTTAGGGGTAGGGGTAGGGTGCATATACAAAATAGGGCACTTAGGTTGTAGAAGCAGGTCACTTATCAACTTTGACTCCAACAAAGGGAATTAGAAAACAGATTTTACCCAACTCTGTCATGGAACTTGGTTGTAACCGTTCACCTTACAGTTAGAACAGAATCTTTCATCAAAGCTGCAGAAGGCCTCCATGAGAACAAATCACTTCCTGTTGCAAGGAAGCGATCCTGAAGCTTTCCTCTTTGCTGTGGTGATTCACTTCCAGGATCTTCTCACATCTCTAAACTAGAGGAATCACCTTTCCCTCATTATTCAGATTAAAAACACAATGAGATCTTTGGCATGTTCTTGGTAGTATCCACATGAGGGACTGTCTGGGACATGCAATTTTGTGACTTAGAGTGTCCCCACCTCCAAGTGTTCTCTGGGCAAAAGGACCAGCTTTGATTGAGATGGATGTTCTGAAGGAGGTAGCTGTAGGCCATCAACTGTCCTCCTCTTGGTAGCTGGCAGAGGGGAACTCGGCATGGGACGTTCTGATAATAACAGCTACTACTAAGCCAAAGAGTAAGAGACAGCACAGTTTCCACAGATGTCAGCAAAGTGTTTCATAAAACTGAGCTCATTTCTGATTTGAAAATTCAGCTGAGTGCAGGGACCAGCATCTACATCCCAGAGCCCTGGGAAGCCAAGGCAGACAAGTACCTGGAGTTTGAAGTTAGCCTAGAAACCTAGGAAGACCCTACCTCAAAAACAAACAAGCCAATAGTTAAATTAAAAGAAAATATATTTGCTTCCTCGATATGGTAAAACTATTTGTGTTAAAAAATACAAGCCTTTCAGCAAGACTAGGAACATTCTCATAAAAGCCTGGAGCAAGGGGGCAAAGGAATGCCATGTCATACACCAAAGTGGAGGAGAAATGTGGAGCTTAAGGATTTAAAAGCAGAGGAAGTGCCAGAGTTTGAATAGATTGAAAATATTTAAGACATCATGGGCTGCACAACCAGATCCTTGAACACAAAGCCAGCTTGCAAAAATCCCATTACCTTTGGTCCATAAAGGTCTGGAGACATGGCTTAGTGGTTAAGAATCTATTTTTATAGAGGATCTGAGTTTGGTTCCCAGCACCCATGTCAGGTGGCTCACAACCATCTGTATCTCTTGCTCCAGAGGATCCAACTTCCTCTTCTGAACCCCTCAGGCCCCTGCACTCATGTGTACACACCCAAACACTCAAACAGTTGAAAATAAAAATAAGTTTTTAAAAGCCACAATAACAAAAACCTCTGGTCCATAAAAACTGAAACCAATCACAAATACAATAGAAAAGTGTTCTACCAACAGGAGCACATTTTGAAGAAAGAGTTTTAAAAAGTTGAAATAAGAGCAGCAAAGAAAGAGCATGTGTTCTTTATGACAGAAAACTTAAGACACAGTAGAACTATGTTGATTTGAGCTTGAAAATTCAGCATTGTAGCATTTGAATTTCTTCACACACAATGCATATATTTATAGTTATCTAAAGAAACTTTGTTAGGATTCAAATACACATGTCCTAACCTAGGGTGGCTCACTGCACTTTCAAGTTTTTGACCTTGCAGGAATGTGAAAGTGATGCACACTCTGTAGAAAACACCGCCCATGGAAAGTTGAATTTGTCTCTTTCCCTGGGTTAGCCATGAGTAATCTAACCAATCCTCTCTTGGAATGTTGATCAGGATAACAAGTCCTGTTTCTAGTCAGCTGTGATCTGCAGCACTCTATTTCTGAGCTATGAGGTTGAATACTTCACACCTTGAGCTATTTGCTAGGTTTGGGGAGATATAACCCCCATTGAAAGTTGAGCATCTGTCAATCTGGGAGGAGGGGACTGGACCTGCCTGGACTGAGTCTACCAGGTCGATCTCAGTCCTCGGGGGAGGCTTTGCTCTGGAGG